ACCTCTGGAGGTCCCTTCCAGATCTATTATTCTATGAGCCGCAATGAACTTTTAGCTCAGATCTTACAGTTAGCTCAATGGTGTTCCTCTGTTTGTGCATCTCTCTGTAATACAAGAACTTTTGAACACTGCATCCAATCCATTCCAAAATTTCTGTGAATGTTCTAGGCATCAATGGACAGATGCTTACTGATTTTAGTGAAAATCAGAAAACTGGAAAAGCCTGATTTCCACTTGGGAATGAGAGGAAAATCAGGCCCATGGGGCACCCATTTGATGCAGCAGGCAGAGGAATAGCTCTGATGCCCCCTGCTGCTGTCCATTGGGTGTACAGCTCAGTGCACATAAGCATGAAGTGTGCAATCTTCTAGTGCAGAGGTTCTTAAACTTGGGGGTGGAATGTATTCTGGGGGGTATGAGATGCTTTCGGGGGTGGGGGGAAATCTTACTGCACACATTTTACCCACAGCAATGAATAACTAGCAAAGCTGATTCCTCCAGACATATCAGGTCCTCAAATGGCGCTGTGCCTTTGACTCCAGATGGCGCTGTGCCTTTTGATGGATTTCTGTTAAGCTTGCCTAGCATTATACAAAGTCGTTGCCATCTATACATTAATCGCCATGACATGGTGTGCACATTTAATTGTAAGCATGGACCAAAATTGCAGTTTTACTTTTGCTCTTATTACAATATCGTTGGCTCCTTTGGGCAAGAGAAAAAACCCCGAACTTAAGTGAAAAACAAAGAAGCCAAAACTGATTCCAGTGAAGCACTGCCACCCCATATATCGGCATATGTGCTTGTGTGGCGGAGGGTGGAAGGGGCACACAGATACAAAGAAGGGGGACGCAATCAAATGAGTTTGAGAACCACTATTTGAATAAACATTGTCTTCTTTTTCTATGGAGTACCCAGCTCCACAGCAGGGCGCCACCTGCTGGCCGCAGCTTTCACTGCACTATTATGCAGCTGGGATAGAGATGGCAGGAGGCAGTTGGTACCTTTCACTTCAGGAGGCCTTTTTAGAGCATAGGTGTCAAGGTTCCTCCCCCACTCTGAACTCTAGGGTACAGACGTGGGGACCTGCATGAAAACCTCCTAAGCTTACTTTTACCAGCTTAGGTTAAAACTTCCCCAAGGTACAAATTAATTTTATCTTTTGTCCTTGGAATATCCATTGCCACCACCAAACTCTAACTGGGTTTACTGGGAAACGTAGTTTGGACAAGTCTTTCCCCCCCAAAATCCTCCCAACCCTTGCACTCAACTTCCTGGGAAAGGTTTGGTAAAAATCCTCACCAATTTGCATAGGTGACCACAGACCCAAACCCCTGGATCTGAGAACAATGAAAAAAGCATTCAGTTTTCTTACAAGAAGACTTTTAATAGAAATAGAAGTAAATAGAAGTAAAGAAATCACCTCTTTAAAATCAGGATGGTAGATACCTTACAGGGTAATTAGATTCAAAACATAGAGAATCCCTCTAGGCAAAACCTTAAGTTACAAAAAAGACACACAGACAGAAATAGTCATTCTATTCAGCACAGTTCTTTTCTCAGCCATTTAAAGAAATCATAATCTAACGCATACCTAGCTAGATTACTTACTAAAAAGACTCCATTCCTGTTCTATCCCCAGCAAAAGCAGCATACTGACAGACACAGACCCTTTGGTTCTCTCCCTCCTCCCAGCTTTTGAAAGTATCTTGTCTCCTCATTGGTCATTTTGGTCAGGTGCCAGCGAGGTTACCTTTAGCTTCTTAACCCTTTACAGGTGAGAGGAGTTTTCCTCTGGCCAGGAGGGATTTTAAAGGGGTTTACCCTTCCCTTTATATTTATGACAATAGGATTGGACCAAACTCACAAGGCCCCCTCAGCCTGCTTCCCCCCAGCCTCTTGCTTCTCAGGGGGCATCACTGAGAAGCAAATCATGGGGGCCGGGATAGCAAATGCCCCCATATTCTTTGGGTTCCCCAGAGCCAATGTCTCTTCTGTCAGCTGCTCCCCAAAACTCCACCTGGGCAGGAGCTGACATACCAGGTGGAATGGGCCCTGGTTGGGGGAACTAGGGAGGCTCTTAGTAGGAGCTATGAAAATGAAGCCAAGATCTAGCTTTGAGGAAACCTTGAACCTTAACCTCTGATTATTCATCCTAATCCCCCCATAAATCTTCACCCCAAATTCAGAAACCCCACATCTTCACCTCCCCTCAAATAAAGAATCCCCTGAATATCATTTGCAGGAAGGGGGGAAGAAGGGAGGTTTAGATTGGATATTAGGAAAAACTTTTTCACTAAGAGGGTGGTGAAACACTGGAATGCGTGGTAGAATCTAGGGAGGTGGTAGAATCTCCTTCCTTAGAGGTTTTTAAGGTCAGGCTTGATAAAGCCCTGGCTGGGATGATTTAACTGGGAATTGGTCCTGCTTTGAGCAGGGGGTTGGACTAGATGACCTTCTGGGGTCCCTTCCAACCCTGATATTCTATGATTCTATGATTCTAAGGGGGGGCAGTTTTTAGAGTGTGCATTTGTGTGTTTGTGCATCTGTCATAAATATAAAGCGAAGGGTAACCACTTTTCTGGATACAGAACTATAAAATCCCAATAAGGCCAGAGGCAAAACCCTTTCACCTGTAAAGGGTTAAGAAGCTAAGATAACCTTGCTGGCACCTGACCAAAATGACCAAAGAAGAGATCAGATACTTTCAAAGCTGGAAGTGGGGAAACAAAGGGTCTGTCTGTGGGATGCTTTTGCTGGGAACAGATCAGGAATGCAGATTCAGAACTTCTGTAAAGTTAGTAAGTAATCTAGCTAGAAATGCCTTAGATTTCCTTTTGTTTAATGGCTGGTAAAATACGCTGTGCTGAATGGAATGTATATTCCTGTTTTTATGTCTTTTTGTAACTTAAGGTTTTGCCTAGAGGGATTCTCTGTGGTTTGAATCTGATTACCCCATAAGGTATTTACCATCCTGATTATACAGAGGTGATTCTTTTACTTTTTCTTTAATTAAAATTCTTCTTTTAAGAACCTGATTGCTTTTTCATTGTTCTTAAGATCCAAGGGTTTAGGTCTGTGTTCACCTATGTAAATTGGTGAGGATTTTTATCAAGCCTTCCCCAGGAAAGGGGGTGTAGGGCTTCGGGGGGATATTTTCGGGGGAAGACATCTCCAAGTGGGCTCTTTCCCTCTTCTTTGTTTAACACGCTTGGTGGTGGCAGCATAGGGTTCAAGGACAAGGCAAAGTTTGTACCTTGAGGAAGTTTTTAACCTAAGCTGGTAAGAATAAGCTCAGGGGGTCTTTCATGCAGGTCCCCACATCTGTGCCCTAGAGTTCAGAGCGGGGAAGGAACCTTGACAGCATCCTTTGCTCAATTCCCTACCAAGCGTCTTTCCTATTTCCCTGCCACTGGATCTTTATCATTCATTATTGATACTTGTCCAACTTCTTCTGCCAATCAAATGTCATTGAATCAAACTAGGTGGCTGAGTGTGACTGGAATGGCTGGTCTATCCAGGAACATCATTCCAGAAGAATGTTGGGTGTGAATTTACAGTGAAACCTCGTTTCCAGAATAGGTTTCAGAGGGGTAGCCGTGTTAGTCTGTATCAGCAAAAACAACGAGGAGTCCTTGTGGCACCTTAAAGACTAACAAATTTATTTGGGCATAAGCTTTCGTGGGCTAAAACCCACTTCATTGGATGCATGGAATGGAAAATACAGTAGGAAGATATATATACACCGTACATGAAAAGATGGGAGTTGCCTTACCAAGTGTGGGGTCAGTTCTAATGAGACTATTCAATTAAAGTGGGCTATTATCAACAGGAGGAAAAATCACTTTTGTAGTGGTCATCAGGGTGGCCCATTTCAAAATGTTGACAAGAAGGTATAAGTAACAGTAGGGGGAAATTAGCATGGTTTTTCCCCATGCATCCAATGAAGTGAGCTGTAACTCACGAAAGCTTATGCTCAAATTTGTTAGTCTCTAAGGTGCCACAAGTCCTCCTTTTCTTTTTGCGGATACAGACTAACATGGCTGCTACTCTGAAACCTGTAAAAGTTTATGCTCCATGTGTGAATGAGCCTTGACTACAGCTGGGAGAAATTTTACAGATTACACTTTTTTTCTTCTTCTGGCAATAAATGTAGATTCAGCGACACTGGAATGCATCAGATTTGTGTGGAGTTTGCTGAATTGCTCATGGGAAGGGGGGACTGAAAGAATTAGAATATTTCATTTTAAACATTTCTGGAAATTAACTGGGTTTTGAAACAAGGTTTGGTTCCAAGGCATTGTTTCACTTGAATTTAGTTCCATGATTCTACTTCTTTTAAAAATCAAAAATGTTTTAAAGCTGCTGAAATTGAAATTAAACTTTTTGATTTTGTGGAAACAAAACCTCTTGTTTGGCCCAAAACTTTTCCCCTTTTTATTGGCCAAAATTTCCGGATCTGCTTGGAGCTGATGGGGAAATTTCTCTCACAACTTTTCTAAACTGCCAACGAACCCCAGAACCCACCTGGGTCCCGCCTTGGGCTGGATTCCTGGCCTCCCCAAACCAGAGCAGGGCAGGTTACCAACCCGCCGTGGGCAAAGGCCTTTTGCCAGGGGCAAGATTTCCCCTGATGCAAGGCAGGGAGAATCGGACCTGGGACATGGGTCAGGGGGACGGGAGGCCTCTGAGCCGAACACCGCAGCTTCTGCGCTGGGGGGGCTGAGCTGTGCGTAGCCCCGATTCCCACCGTGGACGCGGGTGGGAATCTCTTTGGCAGGGCAGATAGGCTCGGGGTTGGGGGCCCCAGCTATGGGGCAGGGGGATGGGGGGGGCAATGGGGAGGTGGCTGCTGTTCCCGGAGGGACCGGGGCGGCCAATGGGAGCGGAATCCCGCAGGCTCCATTCAGGAATCCCAAGTATTCAAGATGGACGGCAGAGGAAGGAGGGGGAGGGGCAGTGCAGCGGCGCGGGGGAGGGGGCGCTGCCTTCCTGGGGGGCTCGGGGAGAAAGTTTCACCTCGGCTGGGGAAGGAGCGCGGAGCCCGGGACGGAGAGAGCGAGGTAGGGGCCGGCGAGCCGGCATCGTTGTGCCGCAGGGGGACCCCTGCCTTTGCCCCTGCAGCCCTGCCCCCATCCCCCTGCCTGCAACTCTCCTCGCCCCTCAGCCCCATCTCCTAGCCCCTTCCCTGAAACCTTGCTGCCCTCTCTTCCCTACCCCCCACATCCCTGCCCGCCTCCTCCCCTGGCCCCAGCTTTCTGCAATCCTACCTCTCCCTCCCTCCCTATCCTGGCCCCTTCTTTCTCCCTCCTCCTCCATAACCCCTCTTTGCCTTCCTGACCTCATCCCTCCTCTTCATTTGGGGCGGGGGGGGGGTGTCATGCAGGGGTTGAGGGTTCTGTTTGCATGGGGACAGGGTGAGGTTTTTTTAATGGGCCAGGGGCTCTTTATGTGTTGGGAGGAGAGTCATGGGGCTCGCCATCCCGTCCCTTGGAGTGGGGTGTGTGTGTGAGAGAGAGAGAGCACTGGGCAGGAGGGGTGTTGGGATCCCTCTGCCCTCTCTTGTTCCCCACAAAGTCTCCCTTCCCTACCTACCCCTGCCACCCCACTCAGCACTCTACCCCTACAGTTGCCCCTCCCCAGCCTCCACCTCTACACCTGTCTCCCCACACTGCACCCTACTCCCCTATCGCTACATCTGCCCTTCCCATCCCCTCACCTCCACACCCGTCCCTCCTCTCCAGTCACGAGCAATCCCCCAGCCAGGTCAGTTCAGTAACACTGTACTGGTGCCTCCTACCGCTGGCTGTGCCAAGCGTAATCCCCCTCCCGTGCCCCACACACACATAAGCCCACCCTAACTTCCCCACAGCCCAGTCGGCTGGCTGCCAAAGGGTGCGCAGGAAAGGGAGACTATGGGGTGGGACAGCAGGGGAAATCGGAGCTGGGGCTCACTACTACAGGAGGCTTGTGAGGACTCGAACATGAGCCCCACTGACGGATAGGCCCTTTTGCTCTGCTCTGGCAGCATAAAGGGTTTTACACTGGGTAGAAACTGCTCCTGAGAAGCCCTCCTTCCTGGGAGGTGTCCCTGGCTGGTGTGGAGCTGGCCCAAGGGCCCTTCTCCTAGCCCTTGGCATAGGGGATTGCTCTAGCTGACATCAGAGACAGGCTGGTTTCTGCCCCACCTCAACCTGCCCCTGTCCCTAAAGTACCTGGCTGGCTGGCTGGGTGAGCTCTTCCTGGAGCTTCTAGACAGGACAGCTCCATGGCCAGGTTCAGGGCTTGTAAACTCTGCAGGAGTGAAGAGATACCTCTCCTAGCCTGTGACACCCCTGCAGAGCTTATTAACTCCTCTGCCCCCCTCGTCCCAGCAGCTCCCTCTGGGGGTTTGTAAACTGCTGAGAACTGCGCAGGACTGGGGCTGGGAGCTCACTGCAAGGGGGAATCCTTTGACCCAGCTGCCATGTGCTCCCCAGCCTGCGTAGCTCATCGCTGCCTGTAGTCCCTGGAATGGGACTGGCACTCTCCTAGCGGCCCTGACCATGATCAGATCCCCCTCAACCCCTGCATGATCCCCCTCCTCCCTTCCCTAGAGAGCCCCCTAGGATAGAGGTCTGTCAGTAGCAAACACTTCTGAGCCTTGTTATGAGAGAGCTCTGTGTCTGTATATATGTACATAGTGAATAGGTAAATTGCCTGTAGGTTGCACTCAAACACATGTAGCATAGTTCCTGGCTTCTGTGGGACCAATATGAATAGCCTTGTGCTAACAGTAGCTTCCTCTGTGCAGCTCCTAACGAATCATAGACTATCAGGGTTGGAAGGGACCTCAGGAGGTCATCTAGTCCAACCCCCTGCTCAAAGCAGGACCAATCCCCAATTTTTGCCCCAGATCCCAAATGGCCCCCTCAAGGATTGAACTCACAACCCTGGGTTTAGCAGGCCAATGCTCAAACCACCGAGCTCCATTGCATCCTGGTCACACGGCCACTGCTTCTTCCTTTGCTGCTGAGCTGGATCTGGCACCTAGAGCCTCTGCTCACTGCTCCTGCTGTTTCTTATCAACGGTGTCAGTAGTTCTGAGTGTCTGCTGAGCCAGCATCCTCCTCAGTTCTACCTAGGTGTATCTGCTCCTTGTGTAGGCGTCACCAAGGGGTCATTCTGTGTGACCTGATGGTCCCTTTCTCTTTGGGATCTCCCAATTTCACTGTAGCTGTGCACTGAGACAACGACTGTAATCTAATCTCATGTTTCAGACCTTCAACTGATCACCTGTAGGGGTCAAGAGGGAATTTTCTCCCCAATGCACAATTGTCCTCATGTGCGATATCATAACACAGTGCTCTCAATAGGGAGCCCCATCCCATGCAGCTCTTTCATCTGTGTGGTCCTACTGAGTTCTGAGGCATGGAGGTGGCTGGGTGGTTTTGCTTGGCTGCTCATCTAGAATTGCTCTTGCCACCTCTGTAAGTGTGGATCATTTTCTCCACTTAAGCTTGATTGATTTGGGAAACGAGTGGCATCTGGGGCACATTGACTTGATTTGCCTCTTCCATCAGAACTCTTGCATTCTTGCAAACATCTCTGCTAAAGGAAGCTTCCCTTACCACGCCTGACGGGTACTCTGCAATTTTCCAATCCCTTTCTGAAGTTGCAGTGCTGCCTTGCACAGCCCGCCAGTCTCTCTCTGTTTTATCCTGCTGCCCATCACTGTTGTATCTGGGCGCCTTCCACATAAAATCAAAAACAGTAGCACAGCCCCTAATGATTTTCATGGAATTTCTGATACTTTACAGTGTCACAACTCTGTTTGAGGCGGGGGTTGATTTTCTGATGGTTGGAGTTCGAGTTTTTTAAAAGATTATTTATTAATTTCCACTTTGGTTGGTAGGTGTAGAAGGGGGTGTCTGTGCTGTGAATGTCATTCTTACAGTTCATATATTACAGAGCCAGAAGGGACCATTGGGATCACCTAGTCTGGTCTACTATAGGCCAGTGAACTTTCCTGAATTAATTCCTGTTTGAACTAGAGGTGATCTTGATTGAAAAATTGCCAGGGGTGGAGAATCCCCCACAACCCTTGGTAAGTTGTTCCAATGATTAATTTCCCCTCTACTAAAAATGAACGCATTATTTCGAGTCGGAATTTGTCTGGCTTCATCTTCCGGCCATGATGTTCTCCCAGGAGCATGAGTTGCAGGCGCTGCTGTGGGGACTTTGGAGTGTGTCTGTTGTGGGGGGACAGGGAGGGGAGTAGACCCAGGAGCTGATGACCCGGTAGATCCTTTTCATCCCTGGTCTGTTTCTGTAACCCAGGATAAATCTGATTGTTAAACAAATGTGGTTGTCCTTTCCCCCTCCCCCGCATGCAGTGGGTTTTCATTCCATTTCCCAAACGCCACTTACTCCAGATCTGAGCACAAAGTCTAGCCCCACCAGCAGGTCTCTGACCTCAGGGTCGGGAGGGCATCCCAATCACTGCGGACAGGAAGCCTCGCTCTCTGGAGGTGACTGGTGGCTGACACCCCCCCCTTCCCCCACAGGTTTGCAATGGTGCATGTGGGTCTGTGTTTGCCAAAGACTTTAAACAAATACAGCAGGGGGGTTGAGGCCTGGAGTGCGCACACAGGAAATTCACAGCCAAGGAAACTCACAGCCAGGCCATGAGGTCTGATCCTGTCCCAGGAGAGGCGGAGGGGGTTGGCCTGGTTATGGGTGCAGGGCTAGCCCCCATCTGGTTTCTCTGAGTGCCCCCTCTCTTGACCCAAGCCTCATGTAATTACCTCTCTGGGGTGGAATCCAGTGAGTCTCCCAGTCTTAGACCCACCTCTGGGCTACAATTGCCTGTGGATCAACCGTGCTTCCCCAGCAGGTCCGACTGGGTTCAGCACCCATGCTTCTTCCCCTCAGAAGTCTGTACTCAGTGGTGTATAGGGACCAGGAAGCCTTCTCTGACCAAAGGATTGTTTACTTTAACAGTAGGAGCAAAACAGAGAAAAGGACACAGAGGTTGCTTTAAGATCCTATCTCATATAACAGCTTCCCATCCCCTGAGATTGGCATGCGCAGGCCTAACCTCTTCAGACCCCCCCAGCCCCAGCAACTCGGCAGCTCAGCTGGCTGGCGGTTCCGGGAGCTCTGTCCAGTCCCCAGTATGGCAGGGGTGTTCTGCAGGCTCCAGCAGTAGGCAGGATGCATCTGTCTCCCTTGGTGACTCCCACCCAACTGAGCTGTGGGGCCTGCCTTTTATACTTTTTTCCTGTCCCACTCCACTTCCGGCAGGGCTGGCTGGGCTCACTTGGCTCTGCCCACCAGAGGGCAGGCAGCGGCCGTCCCTCGCCATCAATCTTCAAGGGAGGCCATGCTGTCTTGCTACAGTGCTTAAATACCTTTGGAAATCTGGCCCCAGGAGACCAAAGATAAAGCTGGATACTGTGTCCCACCAATCCCATTGGTCTTGCCCTTTCGTCAGTTCCAGGGGATGCTGGTCAATTTCATTGTGGGAAACACCATTTCCTGCTGCCTACTCAACCTATTCCAGGGTGTGAAATCCCAACCCATTGGGCCCCTGGGGCAAGGGATGGTGAGATGGCTCTGAGCTTGCCTGGAAAGGTGCTTGTTAAGGTTTTGTGGTGGCATTCTCCTGTTTCCCCTCCCAAATCCAGCAGATCTGAATGGGAACAGTCAGAGGGAGGTGGGTGTTAGAAAATATCCAGGAGAGAGTCTTGGGGGAAGAAAGGATGGTTAAAGTACAGGCTGAGGCATGGGTTCTTGTCTTGCTCCAACTCCCAGTTTGAGCTCAGGCAAGGCCTTTCTGTGCCTCAGTTTTCCCAGTTTTAAAATGATGCCCCCTCCATAGGGGATTGTGAATCTAAATTCACTCAAGCATGTTAAGTTCTTTGGCTGGAAAGTGCTATTGGTGGCAGTGCTATCTCCAAAGGTCTGACCCCACCGGGTGGGAGTTGAAACCACTGGCATCTCTCATGGAAGAGGCACTCAGTCAGTTGATATAAAATATCATTTTCTTTATTACCTGGCTGATGCAGGTACCTGTACCCACAAACAGAGCCCAGAGAGTGAGTCAGATCCGCAGCCAGTGTAAATCAGCAAGGCACTATTGACTTCAACAAAGCTGTGCTGATTTACATCAGCTGGGGATCTGGCCCATTGAGTCCAGTAGAGCTATTGATACCAGCTGGGGATCCGGCCCAGAAGGGGAATTCAGTGAAACACAGTGTGTAGGCAGGACATCACAGCTCCCTTTCCTTGAAACAGCAGATTTGGCAACAAATCTCACCTTTGGGAAGGAGCAAATTGGTGACTTCAAGTTTTTTCTGTTTCTGATCAGGGCTCCCTCAACAATGTGTGAGACTTTTGAGGATGTGGGTGGATGGGAGGAATCAGGGCTGAAAGGGCCTGTCTGCATGGGGAAAGGTACTGGAATTACTGTACCGGTATAATTATAGCGATACAGATAATAGAGTCTAAGGCTGACGGGATCTCTGTGATCATCTACTCTGTCCCCTTCTACAACACAGGCCATAGGGCTCTCTGAAATAATTCCTATTTGAACTAGAGCTGGTCTTTTAGAAAAACATCCCATCTTGATTTTAAAAATTGCCAGTGATGGAGAATCTACCACGAGCCTTGGTAGATTGGTTCAATGGTTAATTATACTGGTATAACTCCCTGTGGGGATGCTCTTAGGTCCCTTCCAAAGGGATATGAGCTAAACTGGAAAAAGACCACTCTTGTTCCAAATGAGTGTGTCCACCTGGGGGCTATAGTGGTATAACTATAGTGGGGTAATTATACAGGTGTCCCTAAACTTCTGAATGCCAGAAGCTGGGACTCGACAACAGAGGATGGATCACTCAAAATTGCCCTGTTCTGTTCATTCCCTCTGAAGCATCTGACAGTGGTTTCTGTCAGAAGACAGGATACTGCGCTACATAGACCACTGGTCTGACCCCGTATGGCCGTTCTTGTGGTGTTCTTATAGTAATGCTGGTAAACTTCCCCATGTAGAAAAGCCATAAATAGACCACTAAGTCCCCTTGTTTATCCCTCCAGGTGAGGCAGGACTGTTTGCCGCTAGGGATGTATCTGGATGTTAATTACAGTTAGAAAATGGATAATCAGGTTCTGTCTCCAGGGGGAACGTTGGCATTGCCTGTGCTTAGAAGGGAAAGAGTCTGGCTGAAATGAATGTGGTTTAAAGTGTGTGTGCACGTGCCTGTGTATGGAGGGGAGGGGTTGTTCTTTGCTCTTCTTTTTTTCAGATCCCTTTGTGATTTTTGAGCACTCTTGTTTATCTGAGAGAAATTCCTGGGTTTTGTTGAGCAGCGAATGAAAAGAACGATATAAAAACGGGTCCAAACAAATTGCTCAAAAGGTTCTTCATAAACTGGAGGTGAAAATGATTGTAGAAGGTCAGGAAAAGAAAATGAGGGGAAATTCCTTGTTTTTAAACTGCTATCAGAGAAACTGAAGTGGGTCAAAGATTAGGGAATTTGAAGCTTTACTCCCTCCCCCACATCAAACAGATCCAAACAAATAAACCAAAATACTAAGAAATGAACACAGCCAACTTTTATGCAATCAGGAGGCATTTTGTAGCTTGCAAATTTTAATGTGTAGACAGATTTTTAGTGTTTTTAATCTAAACAAGATTTGATCATTGCCACGAAGCCTTGCTCCATTGTAATGTTCAGCATGCAGTGTCAGGGAAGGGGCACTAGAGGGAGTAGGAGGCAAGAAATACACAAGGCCGGTAACTCAGGGCTGCTGCTCCATAGATCTAAGCCCTGGTCTACACTAGGACTTTAGGTCGAATTTAGCAGCGTTAAATCGATGTAAACCTGCACCCGTCCACACAATGAAGCCCTTTATTTCGACTTAAAGGGCTCTTAAAATCGATTTCCTTACTCCACCCCTGACAAGTGGATTAGCGCTTAAATCGACGTTGCCGGCTCGAATTTGGGGTACTGTGGACACAATTCGATGGTATTGGCCTCCGGGAGCTATCCCAGAGTGCTCCATTATGACCGCTCTGGACAGCACTCTCAACTCAGATGCACTGGCCAGGTAGACAGGAAAAGAACCGCGAACTTTTGAATCTCATTTCCTGTTTGGCCAGCGTGGCAAGCTGCATGTGACCATGCAGAGCTCATCAGCACAGGTGACCATGATGGAGTCCCAGAATCGCAAAAGAGCTCCAGCATGGACCGAACGGGAGGTACGGGATCTGATCGCTGTTTGGGGAGAGGAATCCGTGCTATCAGAACTCCGTTCCAGTTTTCGAAATGCCAAAACCTTTGTGAAAATCTCCCAGGGCATGAAGGACAGAGGCCATAACAGGGACCCGAAGCAGTGCCGCGTGAAACTGAAGGAGCTGAGGCAAGCCTACCAGAAAACCAGAGACGCGAACAGCCGCTCTGGGTCAGAGCCCCAAACATGCCGTTTCTATGATGAGCTGCATGCCATTTTAGGGGGTTCAGCCACCACTACCCCAGCCGTGTTGTTTGACTCCTTCAATGGAGATGGAGGCAATACGGAAGCAGGTTTTGGGGACGAAGAAGATGATAGCTCACAGCAAGCAAGCGGAGAAACCGGTTTTCCCGACAGCCAGGAACTGTTTCCCACCCTAGACCTGGAGCCAGTACCCCCCGAACCCACCCAAGGCTGCCTCCTGGACCCAGCAGGCGGAGAAGGGACCTCTGGTGAGTGTACCTTTTAAAATACTATACATGGTTTAAAAGCAAGCATGTGAAAGGATTACTTTGCCCTGGCATTTGCGGTTCTCCTAGATGTAGTCCTAAAGCCTTTGCAAAAGGTTTCTGGGGAGGGCAGCCTTATTGCGTCCTTCATGGTAGGACACTTTACCACTCCAGGCCAGTAACACGTACTCGGGAATCATTGTAGAACAAAGCATTGCAGTGTATGTTTGCTGGCATTCAAACAACATCCGTTCTTTATCTCTCTGTGTTATCCTCAGGAGAGTGAGATATAATTCATGGTCACCTGGTTGAAATAAAGTGCTTTTCTTCAGGGGACACTCAGAGGAGCCCATTCCTGCTGGGC